TCTGTTTTGAGATATGTCGATTGTAAAGTATTGAGAGCAGGGATAGTCTCTTACCATTTAATTCAATGGAGCCACAATCTCACTGTGTTCCTTTAGGTTGCCTCTAAAGTAAATAGTTAATAATAATAATAAATCTTAGTTCCTAAATCCATACTCATTTCAATAAAGAAATATTTTGACAGAGGAAGTGCCACAGTATTAGGCTCCATCCTGCCCTGCTCTCTGCCAGTGCTCTTGCTCAAAATGCCCATATATTAGGGTTTATCTTATCTAGAATGAAATATCCTAAACAATGATACTTCCGTTATTCCCCCATGCAACACTGCTCCATGGTCTCTTAGTTTTCAGTCTAGAGATTTTTTCCCTTGATATTCAACTTTTCCATTTTCATTAATATAATTTGATACTGTGTTATCCTCCTAGTTCTGGCTCATCATACTGTACCAAACAATTCCCCTCCCTCCTTGGAGTTCATACCCACCATCTGTGTAATGCTTTTACTTTGTCTTCTCTTGGACATCTCCTAGGCAAGCCATAGATCTATTTAAATCTTTAACTTTTTCCTCCAAAAGCAGTCTCTGTAAGCCTTTTTCCATTTTGTTCCTTCTTCCTGAACTGCCTTCAGTTTGTCAATACCTTGTTGATAACAAGGGTGCCCAGACTGAACTCAGTATTTCAGGTGTGGCCACCTGAACTATATATAAACTCTGGCCTTTTTACTCCACCTGGCAAAGCATTTTGATTTAAAAATGCACCAGGGTGTTTGTTTCCTTGCTGCCTTAATGCACAGCAGAGTGGCATGTCTGATTTGCTCCCCATTCATTGAACCTATGGGCCTGATCCTCTGAAATCTCCTTGTACAGGACTCCCTTTGGCTTTGACAAGAGTGGGGTGCCCAAAGGGCTTGTAGGAGTGTGTCTGTAGTTTCTCTTCACACTCCTGCTTTCCAGGGATCTCCCTCCCACTGTAGAGCCCTGTAGTAGTTTTCTTCCCAGAGGTACTAGCTTGCATTTGTCCAAGAAATCTCATCTTGTTATTTCCTGCCCGTGTTTCTAATTTCTCTAGGCCCTTTTTGTGTTACTTTTCTGTGTTCACTGATGCTCACAACACCTCCCACTACTGCATCATCTGCCAAATTTATTAATGTGCAGTTTACTTCTTCTTCCAGGTTATTATGAAGGTATTATATGAGAGCAGACCTAACCCAGATCCCTGCAGTACTCCATAAATGCCTCCCCCTGTTTCTAATTACCATTATTTATGGTCCTACAGCCAGGTTTCAAGCATGGAACAGTTCAAGTGATCAGAATTATTTTGTGAAACACAGTATTGAATATGTAACCAAGTCCAGACTCATTCTATCTCCTGCCTTCCCCAACTCCTCCTCTTTCTCCCTCCAGCCTCAGGAATGACTCCAAGGTCCTCCCTGGAGATCAAAGAAAGAGGAACAAGGATTTCCTGCTCTCTCCCTGAGTCCTCCTAACATTTCCTTCCATAGGCTGGAAAATAGGAAGCAAAGTCTCTGCTACCACCACTGTCCTTCTGGCTTACACTGAGGAGTGATGATTTCACTGACCCTCACAGTTCTGTATCCCACTCCCCTGGCAATGGAAATAAGGGTTAAAAATAACCGAGTGAGCTTCCTTTCTCAAGTGGTGGGTTCCCACTACCACTTACTCTGAATTGTCTGGGCCAGATAGGCCTCTGATGGGTGGCTGGACTGCTCCCTTTCAGGTCACTGGAAAGTGAGGACTTACTACCCTCCACAGTCCACTAGGATAAATTGTTGCCCCAGTTCTTCAGGCCTGGAGGATTCCTTGTCTCCTTGTAGGCTGTGGGGGTGCAGGCATAATGGAGACTGTACAGTTGGGCTGGGGAAGCCTGACCATGCTTTGAAGGCTGGAAATGGCAGAGCAGTGGCTGCCTCTAAAGACCTGGAGGAAGAAGGGCTAGAAGACCATTCTCTCGAAGATGTGAATTAATTGGGCAGGGTGTGGGTTGAGCTGAGAGGAGGGGAAGTGGGTGCTAGGTCAGGGTTTGCAGGTCAGGGTCCCTTGGGGAGGTTACCATCTCCAAATACCTGCCTGCTTTCCTAACCTGCTTTACAAGTCAGTGGTCCTGCAGAAAAAAGGAAACTCTTGGGCTTTTTTATTAAGAAACAACGATGAAAAGAGGCCAGTTCTTTGTTTATTGGGACCTGAGAAGACACTAAAAGCAGGCATTCAAGAGATGCTAACCCGTCAGCCTTGTGAGCTGCTGAACCAGTTAAATGCTGGCAAGGCTCAGTGCCTTCTGATTTCTGAACTTGGCTTGAATTCATTGGAAAAGGAGTTAAGAGGAACTAGGTCATCCCTTTCTATTAGCTGGACTGATGGGGGACACGGGTATTGCCCTCTGAGCTCCCTTCCCCAGTGCTTTCCTATCTTTCTCCCTGCCTAATACTGGGCCATTTCTTTTACTGGATCTTAAAACTGTTCCAACAGGTCCCTTATCAATCCTTGGGAAGGGAAAGGACTGTCAGGGGCTTAATGGAAGGCTTTGCCAAATCTGCGTGATGTTAGTGGCACGTCTGGCATTTGAGACACAACAATCTCTTTTCCAATATTCCCTGCAGGGTGGAGCAGCTGCTTCAGAGCCACGCAATGCTGCAGCCTGCACTGGAAGTGACCGGGGTTTTAAGCTGGTCAGAGAGCGAGGAAAATCCCTCTCAGCGCCGCTAGATGGTCCTCTTGTGTCTTGGAAGAAACGTGCAATCCCGGAGCCTTCCTGCGGGGATCCGCACTCCGGGGAGGACTTCACTTGTGCGGTTGTGCCTTAAATACATCATGGCCTTCATTCACTCACATCCATCCTCGCTCGGAGGAAGGGCTGGCGGTGCCCGGTCTGTCAATACGGCCATTACACCCACGATCACTAAATGCCCATATTAATAAGCAGAGCAGAAGGAGACGGAGGGTCCCGGGGGCCGGGGAGCTGCTTTGGCGGCGACTGCTGCCTGGGTGGCAGCATGAAAGCAGCGTCGCTACCACCGTCGTGGTCCTCCTGCCTGCGCCCTTCCCGCCCCGCCCATGCAGGAACCGCAGCTCCGGCTTTGGTTCCCCGCCCCGCACGGCCTTGCACAGCGTAGGCTTTTGCAGATGAGAGGCGCTGGCAGTGGAGCTCCCGGCAAAGAGCCGATGCAGAGCGGGTCTTTGCAATGACAAAGGCAGTGGCCTGGGGCACGAACGCGTCCCCTCTTTAGCCGCGGGAGCACACGCACTGCATGAGGGCTCCCCGAGGTAGCAGCTCCGCTGCCTGCATGCTTATCCCGCTGTGGGCATCTCTGTGAGTGCCACTGCCATGACAATACTTTTACCTGAGCAATGTTTCCATTTCTTGTTACCTGGGGGACTGTTAATGGCCGAGAAGACCATTCAGACTCTCCTTGCCCTGCTCAATTGCATCCCGAAGGCGCCAGCACACTCCTATTGATCAGCGGGCTCCTGAGCCAGGCTCGCCGCAAGAAAGCAGCAGCCTCATCCCTTTTTTAACTCAAAGGGGAGCAGCTTGTTTTCAAATTTGCAGCTAAAAGCTTCCGAGCCCAGAAGTGCGGGCAGCCGAGCACGATGCTAATTGTTCTGCTTAAATAGTCCAAGCAATGTTTCAGAAAGCTGCCAAACGTGCCAGCAACATCCTGTGCTTAGGGCATAAAACCTTCTTAATGTCCCTTTTCGGCCTTTTAATTATACCTAAATGCTCTTTATTGCCACACGCCGAGATCAAAGGTAAATCGCTCTGGGAGGAAAAACAGAAGCTTTTTATTTTTGGTTTTTAAAGCGACAACACAAGGTGCCGCGCAGTCGCCTCCCTCAGTGTTTCTGCCCCTTGCGTTTCTGAGATAAGATTGAAAATCATGTGCACCCTCCATACAACGCTGTCAAGTTTGCAGCACACTTGGACATCCTTTTTGCTAGGCTGGTTTTCCAAGTTTGAAATCTCGGCAGCTGCTGCGTTGGTCGAGCCCGGCGAATACCCGCTGAAGGCCGGCACAAGGCCCAAGCGCTGGGGCCTTGTGCAGGTCGCAGCCCCAGGTTCCCGGCTCTGCCGGAAGGCGGGCGCGGGGTTGGGCGGAGCGGCCGTCTTTGCCCTCACGGGGAAATGCTAGAGTCGGCAGTACGGCTTGACCCAGTCTCCCAGGGCCGAATTACTCGTTTACTGCGCCACCCCCCGGACTCGTGCTGTGGCTGCGGCCGCGGGGGGGGGCGAGTCCCCGCCAGCACTTGACAGAAGCCTTTAAGCAGGGCGGACCTGCCCGGGGCAGAGCAGAGCCAGAGCCTCGTCCGCTTCGTGCCGCGGCGCTAGTGGCACCAGGGCGAGGGCGGCTCCCACTATTTGCCGACCCTGCCCACCTGCCGAGGGCCTTTGGGGCTTAAGCGAGGCCCTGCCCTGTCCGGAGGCTGCGGCCGCCCCCTGAGTGGAAAGCAGAGCCCGGCCCCGCAGCCCCGCGGACGAGGGTCCGGGCAGGTCGTGCAACAGCGCGGGCCTCGCGCTACCGGTGCTCTGCGCTCGGCTCGGCCGGGCTGGGGTTGCGCCGGGGCCGTGTGGGACAGGTACCCGCGCACCGCACGCCCCGTTCACTACGTGCCGCAGCCTGGGGCCGCGCAGGGGCAACGCCCGCTCCGCTCGCCCTGGCTCTGGCCCCGCAGGCAGCGGGAGACTGCGGCTGCGGCCGAGGAGGGGGCGCAGC